GGGGAGAAAAACAAAAGAGCACTAAGAGAAGTGACTCAAGACATGTGAGAATTATTAGAGAAGGAATGTGGTCAATTTATAAGTCACTTCACACCACAAAAGGATCCAAACCCATTTTACCATTGTGCATGAATCATGATACCTTGATTATTAAAATATATGCTTCTTCTTCTTTTTTTTTTTTGTCAGTCACCTTTTCAAATTATTAATATTATTATTATTATTATTATTATTATTATTATTATTATTATTATTATTATTATTATTATTTATTTATTTATTTTTGATCGATAATTATTATTATTAGTAGTAGTAATAGTAATAGTAGTACATAATGAATGTTATTGGAGATTCTTTCGTCGGGGTTTGTAATCGTTAGATTAGGGGTTTGTAACCGTTAGATTAACTACCCACGACGATTACAAATCCCGACAGAATGGTTCCGTAACGAGACTGTAGCATTTTTCAGTGTTATTATACATGTATAATCATTAAGTTGACACAATACATTTCAACAAATTGACATAATTTCACAATGAAAAATGACATACTATAATAACAATATGTTGTATATAGACCTAAACAAACATATGATATTTTATTATATAAATATATTTTCTGTTCAAAAAGTATGATGCATTGACCATATAGTATAAGTATATATTTTGGTTAATCGAAATATTTTTTGTCATGTTTAAGAATCAATGAACTCATGTGTTAGATCATACAAGTAGCAATGTACTAAAAGTCGGATGGACTCGGGCGCCACGATTTTTGTCTAGGCGACCCTTCTATAGGCGCTCGAGCAATTAGGCGGCGCTGAAGTGATGGAAAAAAAAGTTTTTTGGTCCTTTATCTGCAGGCCGTTTTCAATTTGGTACCGTAAATGGACCGCTTTTGGTAATAGTCCCTTAAGTGAAAAAAAATTAGTTTTTTGGTCCTCCGACCGCCTACAGCAGGTCAGATTTACCGGCTGCCTACGTGGAAATTCGCTCAAATTTTTTTTTTTTTTTTTGCTGAGTTGTATGCTTAGGTGGCGATTATGTGGAATATGTGGAATAATTGTAAAAAAATATGCTAAGGAGAGGATTCGAACCCAAGTCCAATGAGGAGTAAAAGAGCTCATGGACCACTTGAGCTAGCACACTTTATGTTAAAAATTTAACTTCAATTATATATCTACCAACATATTTTTATCTAATTTATATTATTCAATTTGTACTACTTTTATATTTTAATTTTTTTTTTATATTTCTAAATAAATATTTTAACGTATTTAATTAAATTAATTTTAATATTAAATAAATATTTATCAAAGAAATGAATAAAATAAATAATATAATTTACCAAATAAATAAATATATTAAATAATATAATAAATAATATTCCTTACCAAACGAATAAATACATTAAATAAAATAATAAATAAATATACTAAATAGTATAATATATAATAATGTTTACCAAATAAATAAATATATTAAATAATATAATAAATAGAAATATCAAAAAATATGATACTATTTATATATATTTAATATATTTTTTTATTA